ACTGTATACTGTATCAGGGCTGGCCTTTTTTTTTTTTTTTTTTTTTCCTGTTTTGAGACAGGCTCTCACGAAGTTGCTAAATTGTCCAGGCTGAGCTGGAGCTTTTGACCCTCCTGTTTCAGCCTCCCAGAAAGCTGAGGGCTGGGGGTGTGTGCCACCACACCCAGCTGAATTTTTTATTTTACACCTGTGTAAATTGTATGCATTTAAATCCAGGAAGACTGTGCTCAGCTACTTGGAGGTTGTGTCAAGCAAGAGCACTGCTAGAACAACTTGTTTCCTCCCTGAGGAACCTCCGTGCCTTTCAGCTTTCCCTCACACAAATGTCTCAAGTGAAAAGCCAGCCCCTTTCGTAGGAGGAACAGGCAGGCAGGACCCTTCCCTGTGCTCTGTGCAGGGCCCTGACAGCTGCGTCCAGTGTGTGCACTACATTGACGGCCCCCACTGTGTCAAGACCTGCCCGGCCGGGATCATGGGAGAGAACAACACACTGGTGTGGAAGTTTGCAGACGCCGGCCATGTGTGCCGCCTGTGCCACCCCAACTGTACCTACGGGTGAGTGGGGCCCACTACCACGCCAGAGCATGCATGGCACAGCTGCTTCCCAGCCACAGCCACACACGCAGTGTTCCCTGCTTGGCAGTGGCTCTGAGCTCTGTCTCTGTGTGGTAGCCACAGGTGTGTGGCCCTGTGGCCGTGGCAGCCTCAGGACAAGCTGGGGAGAGGCCTAGGTCCTGGGGAAGCAGTAGGCCCGGCAGCTGCCACCTCTGCCCTGACACTGAGAGGGCTCGATGAGGCTGTCCTTCCCTAGCCATGCCTGGACCCGGGCCACCCTGCCCTCCATCCACATGGCCCTGTGTCCACTCCTTGTCATTCCTCCTCTGCTCCCTGTGTGCCCTGAGGCCCAGAGCCAGCTGTGGGACCACTGTGCCCTAGAAGTGGATGGTCTGTGACAGCTCTGTGCTGTGACTGCTGGCTCCCGTGGGCCAGGACAGCCTATCAGTGAGCAGACACTGGGACATAGGCTGTGTGGCCACACAGTGAGCTCCAGATCAGCAGCCAGGCCCACTTGGAGAATAACTCACCATACATTGCCTTGTGACTTAATGACAAATCCCCACAAACACTAAAGAAGGAAGAAACATGTTTCTTTTCCATTTCCAGCAGATGTGTCGGGCCAGGTCTGGAAGGCTGCGCAACAAATGGGTAAGGGGCTGAGCTCTGGCCTTACTGGGTCTCATCAAATATGACAGAAGTTATTTCTGATCACCTGTCCTGTACCATTGTCCTCCTCCTCCTCCCCCACCTCCTCTATTTCATTCTCCTCCTCTTCCTTCACTTCCTCTTGTCCCCTTCTTACTCCCACTTTCCTTCTCCTCCTCTTCTCCTTCCTTCCTTCTCTTCCTCTTCTTCCTCTTATAGAGGAGATGGAACCCAGGGACTCACACTGAGCTGTATCTCCAGTCCTTTTTATGTTTATTTTGAGACAGTGTCCCTCAAAGTTGTCCAGACTGGCCTTGAACTTGCCAACCTCCTGCCTCAGCGTTCCAGGAGCCAGGATGACAGGTTTCTCAGTATCCAGTATTTCTGGCTGTCCTCCAGGCATGTCCACTTGTCACCTCACTATGCCAACCTAGGTTCTGTGGCAGAAGCTGCTCCAGTGGCCCCAGCCCCCAGCCCCCCATCCACCTGGTGTGGGGAAGGGGGGACGTCATGGAGGAGCAGGCTTCCCAGGAAAATGGCTGCCTGGCTCCCCACAGAGGCATCTCCACTGGCCTGGCAGGTTTCCTTGGCCTTATTTTAGCCTTCTCATCTACTGGCTTCCCCTTTCCTCAGCAGCCCATGTTCCCAAGACAGGAGATTAGGGCGTCACCAAGCTGGCAGGGAGGTAGGCGAGACTTACTTATTGATTACAGAATCCCAGGACACTTGGCAGCACGGTTCGCACATTCCTGCACACGGGCTTCCCATGAGGACTCAGGCAGGTTTTCAGTAGGACTTCCTAGACCTGAGCCAGCCTGAGGGCTGGGTGATACCAAACTCACGTCCGCACTGAGCTTTTCCATGTGCTCACTCTTGCATGGTGGCCGTCCTCATGCTGCGGGGTGCACTGCTTTTCCTACGACTCCTTGGCCCAAACTTGCTCTATAGCATTGGTTTCATTTTCTACCTGTAGAAAACTTTGCTGTCACTGTATTTGTCTTGACTGGTTCTTTGCTCAGGACAGAAAGAACCTAGAACTCCTTTCAAGGGGAGACTCCCAGCACCCCAAAGCCCAGTGCCAGTCCCACCACAACCTGGGTGCCGAGGCTTCCCGCTAGTGGCCGAGCCCAGGCTGAGCGGGCTCTCCTCATTCCCTGTGGAAATGTGCCACCCCCGCTGTGACTGGAAATGCGGCACTGACAAAAGCCAAGCTGTGGGTTCCACTCAGGCACGGCAGGAGCAGAACTACCACCCATTAGCAGCACTGCACGAGAGCCCTGGAGCTGTGCGCCTGGCACCTCTTGCCCTTCCTGAGAGCTGCCCAGCCAGACTCCAGCTTCTCTGCTGCTTCGGGTCACATCTGCAAAGTCCCCGCTCCCCTCAGAGGTCATTCCTCAGCTTTAGCCCCCACGCTCTGCCTCCCATTGACCGTGGCAGCCGGCCACACTGGTCTTGGGTGAGACCCCAGGAGGAGGACAGCCACTCCACATTGAACGCTCATTAACCCACACTGCATTAGCCGGGCTCCGGTGTGTGGTGCAGGAGACGACTCCAGCAGGGGCCAAGAAGAGCAGTGCTGTGCGGTGTCGTTTTTGTGAAGCAGCTTGACCCACTTACGCTGACTGTGCGAGGACTGTGGCCTCTGGCTGTGTGGAAACAGTACTGCTGATGCACCTTTGCTCCTCATTAGCATCTCTACCTGGAAATTAAAATTAATCTGTCAAGAACTCAGTGGGATGCCTAACAATATAACCCTACCCCTGCGCGGCCAGAAGGGGGCACAACTCACTTTCTGGGCTCCAGCTCAACCTCCCCATGTTGCTGGGCTCCTTCCTTCCCTCCTTCTGAGCCCAAAAGCCGACTCTTGCATCTCCCTTCCCTGAGTTTGAGCTGCTTGGCTGCATTACGCGGGAAGGCAGAACTGCTTCTCACAGCTCAGTCCCTGGCTTTGCAACCTCGGGCCTGTCTCCACCTGGCGGGGTCTCCGTGGCCCACTGGGTAGGAGACGGCACCTGGTTATGACTCTGCCATTGCTCAGCTGTGCTCCAGAGAAGCACAGAGTACATCTCTTAGGAGCACTGCTGAAGGCTGACCATTTTACATTATAAGTTCCTCAGTCGATAGATGAACACGTAGGCATCCTGCGGGAAAGGCCCAGTGAGACTTCAACTTTCGGGATGCTGAACAGGGCTGGGCATAGAATGATGGCAACGTCCCACCTTTCTCCCTTGGAAGCCGCATATACCCTGCTTGGGGTTGTTTGAAGTGGGGTCGCTGCGCCAGAGGTGCCCGGAATGTGTCAAAGTCACGGGCTCTGACTCTCCCCTCTTGCAGGCCCAAGATCCCATCCATTGCCACGGGGATCGTGGGCGGCCTCTTCCTGCTGGTGGTGCTGGCCCTGGCCGTTGGCCTCTTCATGAGGAGGCGCCACATCATCCGCAAGCGCACGCTGCGCCGGCTGCTGCAGGAGCGTGAGGTGAGTGGGGCTGGAGCTCTGCTCCGGAGCCAAGCCTCCAGTCACACGTCTGGGGTTTCACGGTGCTTTGGGGGTTCCCATCACTGTGCCAAGTACCTGAGAGAGCCAGCGACCACGAGGGCAGGTTTATCCTGGCCCATTCTGGTCTCGCAGTCCATGGCAGACAAACCATTGCCCTGGACCTGTGGCCAGGCACCACAAGAGGAGAGTGGCCCACAGACCTTCAGCCCTCGTGCCAGGAGCAAATCAGAAGACAGGGCCCTCCCACCTTTCTCTGCACACCCCAGGGCCACAGGCCTCCCCACAAGCGCCACCCCTGGAACACGGCGGGGAGAGTCTATGCAGACCTTGTGGGCACACAGTTGCATTGCTGGGGTTTCACCAGGAGCAATCTCTGTGTGTCAGATCACACTTGGGTGCACACTGCCACCTCAGTCCCATGAGCGTCTATGGCTCCAGGTGGACTCATGCACAGTGCTCCCGAAGACAAGTAGAGGCAGTGGCTGTAGCAGCTGTGCAGACTGAGGAGGCAGGGAAGGCATCGCGCCAGCTCCGAGGAGGGCTTTGCGTGGAAACCCCACTGTCCACGAAGTGGCTGCTCCTTTTCGGGCTCCATGGCTGGCATTGTCCTTCACATTTTCCCTACCACGTTCCCTGTTCTGCACTGGGGAAGCCTCATCCTGCAGAAGCAACATCTCCAGCTTTGTGGCCCTACAGGCAGCAGAGGTGCCTTGGGGTAAACATGTCCCTCCAGACATGGAAACAGCTCACGTGGGATGTGCTATTCTATTACCTGTGTCAGAGTCTGTTTTTAATGAGTTTTATGTCTTGTGTCTTGTTATGTTTTTGTTTGTTTGCTTTGTGGTACTGGGGTTGAACCCAGGTACTTTGCACTAAGCCACATTCCCCCGCCCTTCATTTATTTATGTATTTATTTATAAATTTTGAGACACAGTCTCACTAAATTTCAAAGCTTCCCAGGTGGGGCCTGCAGGTGTGATTCTCCTGCCTCAGCCTCCAGAGTGGGCACGACAGGCGCTGCCACCACACGTGGTGTATCGGGTGCCTCAGAGAAGGCTCCATCCTCCTTAGTGCAGGCATGCTGAGGGCTCACTAACACCGCACCTGTGGCACCAGCACCTCTCCTCTGCCCTCTCTTTGCAGCTGGTGGAGCCTCTCACACCCAGTGGAGAAGCCCCCAACCAGGCTCTCCTTCGGATCCTAAAGGAAACGGAATTCAAGAAGGTCAAGGTGCTAGGCTCCGGGGCGTTTGGCACTGTCTACAAGGTGAGTCCAGGGGCCTGCGAGGATGGAGCCCTGAGCCTCGGAATCCATGGGGTCAGGGCCAAGGCGTCTCCCACTCCACTGCAGCCGTGCTTGGCTGAGGCCTGGGGTTTGTTCCCTCAGTGGAGTCTCTTGTATTCACAGAGACAGATGCAGGCACATTTTATGGGTGAGTATGGGGGAGGGCTGCCCAGGTGGGGCCGAGGCCTCAGGGCGAGACCCACCCCACCCCATCCCTGTCTGGGTCCTATCACAGAAAGTCCCCTGCATTGAGGTGGGGCCAGCCTCTGGGGTCTCAGGAAGGGACTCCGTCAACCCCACCGCAGCAGGCATGGCTCAGGGTGCTCCGCTGAACAGTCTCCAACTGGGAGCCCGGAGCTGCAGGGCAGCTGTGCTGTCCGGGGTCCCGGCTCCGCAGTGGCCCTGGCCTCGAGGACTGTCCCCTCCAGACCTGCCCCACACACAGATCAGCACCGTATGTGTGACACTGCTGGCTGACTGCCCCTTTTTCCCCACCCCAGGGACTCTGGATCCCAGAAGGCGAGAAGGTAAAGATCCCTGTGGCCATCAAGGAGTTGAGAGAAGCCACATCTCCCAAAGCCAACAAGGAAATCCTGGATGTGAGTTCCTGCTTTGACCCAGGTGTCCACGGGCCCTGGGCACCACAGAGCCTTTCTTTGGGGCCTGGCCTCGGCTGACTGTCCTTAGACTTGTTCTCATCACCACATTCTAAACATTCACTGTACAGACCTTCTTTCCTTCCATAGTTGATACAATTTGGTCCTCTTATCAAGAAAGTTAATCTCTTCCCTTCTGCTACCTCCCCCTACCTGGGACCAGTTATTTATTTATTTATTCATTTAGTTACTTGTTTGTTTGATGACCTATTTATTTTTGCAGTGCTGGAGATTGAAACCAGGGCCTTAGCACTGAACTGGTCCCCAGCCCCCTTGCCTTTTTAAAATCTGACCCAGGGTCTTGCTGAGTCACTAACTTGCCGGGCTAGAATGAGCTTGAAAGCCTCCTGCCTTGTCCACCCGGAGTGCTGAGATCCAGGGGTGCACCCCACCTGGCCTACTTGCTTTGTTTAGATTATTATGACTGCATGTACACTTTACTTGCCAAGATTTTTCAACCCAGATATGGGCAGGGAAGCAGAAACACACTTGCAGGGTGGCATGCGGCCATTCCGGCGAGGATCACCAGTCACAGAATCTCTTCTCAGCGTGTTTATTTCGTGCTCTTGGAAAGGTGTCCATGCCTATCTGTGAGCACAGTGCTGAGTGTTTCAGATGCAGGCACAGCCACACTCAAAGCTCGAGAGGGGCCTGGGGCAAAATATCAGAAGTCCAGTACACTTTGGAAGAAATGGTGCCATGAAGTAAGAGGCCCAGCCTCACAAGGCTGGACAGGGTCAGTCCGGCACTGTTGCTGGCTCTGAGGCTGGGGTTCCGCCTGCTCTGCCACATTATTTTATCTTTGAAATGGCCTTTATGAAAGATGCCTAGGATGAACAACATGATGCCCACTGTATAAACTGTGCCAGGCCTGACCCAATGGTCTACAATCCCAGCACACTGGGAGGCTGCGGCAGGAAGATCATAAGTTTGAGCCCAGCCTGGGCAACTTAGCTCCTTAATAAGACCCTAGGAATGGGAGTGAGGATGGGGGTGTAGCTCAGGCGAAGGCCCTGGGTCCCAGTGCACACTGAATAAAACATTGCCCACCTTCTGTACCCCCCAATTTATTGTTAGCTCTTTTCTACCCCACGGGTCTCCCAGCCCAGCAGGGAGCCCTTCCTGGACCAGGCCCACAGCAAGGTCAGCCTGGCTGGCTAGGAGCAACTGAAATCTCAGGCTCTGTCCTGAGGCTGAGCAGGTGAAAGGGCAGGAGAGGGCATCAGGCCAGGCAGTGGTGGCAAACCTACAGCACATGTGCTGCAATAGGCTGTTTATCGCTGAGAGCCCTGAAAGTTTCCCCATCACCAGGCCAGGGCCAGGGCTGGGGAAACAGAGTCAAGGGAAAGAAAGAACGGCTGCTGCGGCTTTAAAGATCTGGAGAATTTAGCTGATCTTACAGCCAAGGATGAAAGCCAGATGGGAACACCCCCGCCCCACCCAACCACAGAAAACGCAGGGAGCAAAGCAGAACCTTTAGCGCATGCGCAGACACAGGGACTTTCCCAGGGCCCACGCCCTCCAGGCTTTCATTTTCTCTGGGCAGTGTCCGCACATTTTCTTACATTGGGGCTGACTCCCTTGTGCAGTCCTGAAGAAAAGGGGATGTATTATTGTTATACAGTGCAATAGAAAGTCCTGATGTCGACAGCACACCTGTCAGACAGTTATCTTCCCTTGGAAAGGCCCACTGGTCAGAGCCGCGTTTTGTTAGTGTGTTGTCAAGGCTGTTCACGCAGGGAACGAAAGACAGGACAGGGTCTGCGAAAGCTCACTCACGCCTGCCCTGGTAAAAAGGAAGCCTTTCTGCTGAACTTGCTTCCATCTCTTACTCCTTCAAGACAGTCTAATCAACCGCTTGACAACGCAGAGCAGGACCGTCTGGAAGGGCTGTAATCCATGCGGCCGTTCCTTGGGAAGGAGCCAGTTTTCACCAGCATGTCTGCCCTCCTTCTCGCAGGCCTCAGCTGCAGGAAATCCAAGATTTGGGGGCATGGAGAGTGGGGAGAAGCTTGAGGAAGGAAAGGTTTAACAGTCGTGTGTGTCAAATATCCAAAGGACTCTGTTTGGCCTTTGTCACCTCTTTCCTGGTCTCTTTTTCTGCCCCATTATTTTGACTTCCCCTCCCTGTTCCTTCATTCGGGTCTCTGATCTCCTGAAACATCAGCTGTTGTGGCTGGGACCGTGGCACCAAGGCCCCCGTCTGCTCCTCCCAAGGCACACGTGCCTGGTACTCATGGCCCGTCTGCGTGGGCTGTGTGGGTGCTGAGAGCCCATGGGAAGGGATACAGAGGGGCCTCAGGTCAGGGACAGCAGCACCAGTTCAGCCTGTGTGAAGCAGGGGCTCCAGTTTCTCTGAGTGCTGCTCTGAGGCGCAGCCCCTCCAGTGGCTCTCTGTGGTCCAGGTCCTGCAGGGCCACTGCCTTACCTGGCTGCCAGGGGCTTAGTTAGCTGGTGAAGTCAAAATGTCAGGAGCTCCTCCCCGTCACATAGGCCTCAGGTTAAGGAGTTTAAGATCTAGTGAAATCCTTTCCCCATTCAGAACATAAAATAGTTCAAGGATGAGGGAGACAAGCAATGAAAAGGGACTTGAAAATCATGTCCCCGCAGAGGATGGAACAGGCCCGTCAAGGTGGTCAGGAAGTCTCAGCCACCAGCAGGACCAGGTCTCCCGGGCAGGCTCTGCTCCCCTGGCCAGCCAGGATTCCAGGCATACTTGCAGTGGTTAAGCTGCACCTCCCCTTTTCCAGGACAAACAGGGAGGACAAAGCTCACTTGAACCAGGTTCCTATTGTGGGGCAGGAAGCCCTGCCCGCTGTCCTGTGAGCCATTAGATTTTAGCAGGGCCCCCCAACTTGTATGGCCCAGCACCCCACCCTGCTCTGCAGGACACCCCCGGCTCTGCAGATGTTCCTGCAGGGACTTCTCTGATGGCTACACAGCTTCCTAGACTTGGGAGAGGGAGGATTTGTGTCTGGCTGGCATCCCATGGCCAGTTAACTTTTCCAGACTTCCCTGTGTCAATGTAGGACAAGAGTGGGAGGGAAGGCAGAGCCAGTTTATACGCGTGCCCACCCACATGTGCACCTGTGTGTGATGCCTGCTGACCAGGCCACTGCAGCACCATGGTTTGTGTCCCACAGTAGCCCTCAAACCCTTGGCATCCTCAGACACTCATGGGTGGGCAGTGGGCTGGGGAAGAGGCAGCTGGCCCCGGCTGGGAGACCCAGATGGGTCCTGCCTACTGTGGAGAGGGGAGGCCTCGGCTGACCTTCTCCTCAGCAGGCCGTGGGTCCATACTGGGATGCGTCTGCATCACTGCCTCCCCCAACACCATGCCTTGAAGGAGGTAAGCCTTATTTTGCTTCGTGGTTTGTAGAGGTTTCGGTCCACCATAGGCCTGCACCCAGGCAGGGTGGCACGGTGGAAGGGCTGCCTCAAAGAAAAGTGGCTCATGGCACGGTGTCGAGGGAGGAGCTGGAGGGAGAGGTGCCCATCTGGCTCACCCCAGGGTCCCGCCTCCTAGCAGCAAGTAGCTCCAGGGACCATCCAGAGCCCCACACCTGAGCACAGGGGGCATAGGGGCACAACTAGGCAGAAAGCCCTCTGCTGGCTCTGTCCTCTTCTCTTTCTGATCAAGTGACTCCCGAGAGGAAGGGAGCATCCACAGGTATTAAATATCTGTGTGCCTCTTGTTTCTGTCTTGGGTCTTGAACCCAGGGCTTTCACACCAAGCTATATCCCCAGTCCTTTTGAATTTTTGTTTTATTTTGAGAAAAGGTCTCCTTAAGTGGCTAAGTTGCACAGCCTAGGCTGGAGCTGATCCTTCTCCCGCATCAGCCCCCCAGAGTGCCAGGATGACAGTATATGTGTACTTTCTCATGTTAGCATGTCATGTTTATCATGTGAAAGAGAAACTGCTCACCCACCTGGGGGACAGAGGCCTCCAGTGAGGGTACAGCAAGAACTTCTGGGAACTGGAAGACCTGGACTGTGGGTACAACTCATGCACCACAATAGTGCATAATATGTGTAAATGAATCCAGATCCGTACATGTGTAGGTGCAAACCCACAGCCACTGCCCAGCCCAACCCCATAGCAGCTCCAAGGCTCAGGCCACCCGCCTGGGGCCATCCCATCCCCAGAACCCTCCCACTCAGCTGTGAGCTCCTCCAGAGGGATGAGGGACACCTACTGCCCAGTCCCTCAGAGCTAATTCTCCCAAAGCCCCTGTGGTCCCCTTCACATCCCAGGAAAAGGTCACCACCATTATGTTTCAAAGGGACAGAGAATTTATAGGTGGAAATCATGGACTCTTAAATCTCAGCCAAAAGAGAGGCCCCATTGTGCCCAGGGTTGTAATCAAATGCAGCCTCCCCAGCCTAAGAGTGGTGGAACGGGGTTAAATCAAAGTCTGTGTCACAGGGTTAAATCAAAGTCTGGCTTCATCTGGAAGCCAGCCTGCAAGAGAGCAGGTGGGACACTGTGCAGTGGTAAGATAGGCACAATGGGAGGCTGAAGCAGGAGGCTTTCCTTGGAGAAGGGTCTATGCCACCTGAATTTCAGAGTTGGGACCAGGGTGCCACAGGTGCCTCCCCCATGATTCTGCTGGGCTGTGTGGGCAGCCCCGCCCTGTGCCTCATCACCCACCCTTGGGCAGGGTCATGCTGCTACTAGTGGGGGAATCCTTGTCCACTGCCCTGCTGGGTGCCCTGCCTGGAGCTGTCTTTATGTCCTGGGCCCAACCTTGGCTGTCAGAGGCCCTGACCGCGGATCCCCTCAGGAGACACCAGCAGCTCACAGACTGTCAGAGGCACCAGGGGACTGAGTCTCCCACCCTGTAGTTCTGGGCTCACATGGGACCCAAAAAGCCCAGGCCCTGCCCCTCTGCAACTCCCCAGCCTCCAAGAGTCCGTGCACGCAGCCTGAGCACACGTCTGAGCCTACACGCATCCCTGACGTGTGCCCTCCTCCTACAGGAAGCCTATGTGATGGCCAGTGTGGACAACCCCCACGTGTGCCGACTGCTGGGCATCTGCCTGACCTCCACCGTGCAGCTGGTCACACAGCTCATGCCCTTCGGCTGCCTGCTGGACTACGTGCGCGAACACAAGGACAACATCGGGTCCCAGCACCTCCTCAACTGGTGTGTGCAGATCGCCAAGGTGAGTGGGACAGGTCAGCGAGGGCAGGAAGCCACCAGGAGGAGCAGGCAGTGGAAGAGAGCAGCCAGAAGTAAGGGGGGCACCTTCCACTCCGGCATCTAACCCTTGAGGAGGGGTGGTGCCCATGTGTAAAGCCTCCTTACCCCTGTCTCTTTGTGTTTCGGGCTGCTGCCCCAGTCCCTGCACACATGGGGCTTCTCAAGACCCAGCAGCCAGCGGGTCCTGCCAGATCCGGCCATGTGTCTGAGTGTCCTCCCTCCTGAGCCTTCTCCTGGTCCAGCTGCTGGTGGCTGGGTCGCCCCCTTCTTGCTCTGTCTTTGGGTAGCTCTGCTCTGCCCTGTGTCCAGATGCCTGCTTCTTTCTCGTGTGGAC